AACCTGTAGCTGTGCCTGGGATTGCCCAGCTGTGGTCTGTGGTTAAGGTGGCATCATCAGTAAAACAGATCTATTTGAGTGGGAGTTTTTGTTGTTGGTTGCAGGACCAATAATCCTATAATCATAGAATGGTATGGCTTGGAATGAACTTTACAGATCATCTTGTCCCACCCCTCTGCCATGGGCAGGGACACCTTCCACTAGACCAGGTTGTTCCAAGCCCCATCCAGCCTGGCCTTGAACACTTCCAGGGATGGGGCATTCACTACTTCACTGGACAACCCATTCCAGTGCTTCACCACCCTCTTAGTGAAGAAATCATGTTCTCTTGGTTCTGTTACTGTCTTTCTTTCACATCTCATCCCTTCTTACTAATATATCTATCCTTGAAAATAGAGGTTTTTGAAGGATTAGCCATTTTATATTGTTTTATCTTACTAAGTAATACAAAAGATATTTATAGTGATGCTGGAAAATGCAGTTTGGTGTTCAGCCATGAAAGTGAACTACCAAAATCAAATATTGAGATACCTGAAGCATCTTGGTGCAGAACAGTGGGTGCTTGAGGAAAGCTCTTCTATTTTGCTGGACACAGTTGGTATATATTTCATTCTTCTGTTGCTAGAGAAATATATTAGTGGCCCTGTTCCAATTCTGAATGGCCAAAATCGGTGTTAGCTGATAGGAAAAAGCAGGAAAATCATATCCTGACATTTACTGTCCCAACCTCCTGCAGTAGGAAATTCAGAATATGAATGGATAGTCCTCTTGTAATTGTGTGCATTTTGCATTGGGTTTGTTTGATTTGGCTTTTACACAGCCTCATTTTTCTTAGAGGTAGATGAATGTCTTCTGTCAGAATAGTATTCTCTGTTGAGACTATAAGAAGTCTGCACAGAAATAGAAATTCCTGCCTAAAGAAAGAAAACAGTACTTAATGGCTTCATGACCTTGTGAACATGGGGCTGAAATTTTGTTGAGGGAATGTGGCTGTGCTGCTGGCACTGGCCACTGATGCAGCAGAGTGGCATCAGTGTGTTTATGCCATTTTCCTTCTCTGAGCTTCTTTCCTCCTTTTGTATTTTGTTGCCTTTTATAGTGTTTTCTCATTAGATTTTCATCTAGTTCAAGACCCATTCACATGTTGTTCAAAGTCATTATTCCATTACCTTTTTGCTTCTCTAGGTTCAGAGCCCAGGCAGGAATTTCTTTTCCTGTGTCATGACTGAACAAATCCAACTGTAGCTTCTCTTCTGGTCTCATCTCTTGTGATCATCCCTCTAGCACTGCTGTTTAGGATCATGCTTCTGCTCCTGCTCCCTGCCACTCAGTGACCATTTCAACAATTTCCTTCATCATTTCTGTCTCAAATTGAAGGTTACTTCTGTGATCTTTTGTGGCCTCAGCCCAGCTCATGGTTTTCCTCATCTTGTTCTATCCTAACCTGGTTTATTTGTTTGCTGTGAGGGTTTTGTTTGGTTTTCTTTACCATTCACTTCTTTCATTGCAGTGTTTGCTTTTAGACTTTCACATCTCTTACTGGGATCACATCTACCAGGGTTACATTGCTGGTTTTGCTGTTCCAACATTCTTTTGAATTTTTTTTCCAGCAGGAGGTCTTCTGGTCACAAACATCCAAATAACCAACAATTACTGAGCAGCCTTTTATGTTTAATCCTGCACTTATTTGGACAGTTACAACTGTGGAGCACAGGATGCAGTTGCTCCTTTTTTTTTAGAAACTCCATGTAAACTTTCACTGCACTGCAAGTTATGATTAAAAGTAAATATTGGGCTTTTTACATCTCTGATTCTAGTGTGCTTTGCCAAGTGCAGCTGAGGTGCTGTGGTTATGGCTTGGAACTGGGGGTCTCACCTCTGGAAACAAAAGTTATGACTGATAGTTAGGGATGGGGGAGATACTCCCATTCTAGTGCATGTGCTTTCTACCACTGTGTTTATCTTCCTCTTCCTCAGTTTGTTTCTCCTTGGCAGTTTACCTGCTGTCATGTATTGTAGGTGAGGATGGCTAAAAGCAGTTTTATATCAAAACAAACCTCAGGTTTCCTTTTCCTTTTATCTTGCAGAAGCAGGCAGTGGCCAAGATTACGTGACCTCAGAAAACCAGCTGCTTTACTACCCTAGTATCACCTATGCTATCATTGGCAGCTCTGTCATTTTCGTGCTGGTGGTGGCCTTCCTTGCCTTAGTCCTGCATCACCAGAGGAAGCGCAACAACCTCATGACCCTACCCGTGCATCGCCTGCAGCATCCTGTGCTGCTGTCCCGGCTGGTGGTCCTCGACCACCCACACCACTGCAGCGTCACCTACAACGTCAACAACGGCATCCAGTACATGTCCAACCAGGCTTACCACAGGCCAGTGGACCTGGACTCTCCACCCTCCTATTCAGAGGCTGTTCTCGACCAAAGGTACATACAGGAGCTAATTCTGTGCTCACCAAAGTTTCATACTACTGGTTGCAGCTCTGTTAATCTGTGCTGCTACTCCACACTTATTCCTGTTTTTGAGTCACGTGCGTAGGGTCGGATTTTGGCAAGTTTGAGCTCCTCCTGTGTATGATAAATGCATGGTCCTCAGGTTCCTTTACTGTTATTGGTATTAAAGGGATTTGAGGCAAAGTTTCATGTTCTCTTAGCATGTGTTGTTGGTAGTAGATAGGTTGAGGAAGGCAGGAGAATGCAAAGAAATATATCCCTTGTCTAGGAGTGATATCCTGTGCCAACCTGAAATCAAAACCTACAAACTGAATTTGGAGTTTTGCAAAAAAAACAGCTGAGTTGGAGGTCATAGCATAAACCCCCCACAATTTGCCTGTTCATATATAATAAGTATATAAAGGTGAGAAGTCTTCAATTCTTGCATAAAGAAATCGTATAGTCCTTCTGTTCTGCACTATTTTCCCTTTACCAATAGAAGAAAAGAACAGGACTCTGAAATGGAAAGCACTGTTCTTATTTTAAATAGCTGAGAGTGCTTTGAAGTTTGGTGGGTGGGTGTGGTTTGGTTTATGATGTTTTTATAGTTATGACATTGGTTTTATTTGTAGATCATTAACCTTCATTTTAACCTCTATCTGTAAGGTCTTTCCAAACAAAACTCCTAGACAGACATGCTCCCTCCATAAAAGATCACGGTACAAACTTTAATGATCCAGATTGTTCACTATCACCCTGTTGGTATTTTTTAGTACAAACTGTGGGATCTAACAATAAAGGTATAATCATTTACATTCCTATTCTCTGCTGCATTTGGCCACAGATCCCTTGTCTAAATGTTGACTTTCATCATAATATCTTTTCATTAGTAAGGACAACTAAATGAGCAGCTGTCCAGATTGTAATCACTTCTCACCTGGGCTGATACAAACCATCAGCAATTTCAGAGCTAATTGCTCCCAGGACCTGTTATCAATCTGCTCAACCCTTCAGTCCTTTTTGTTTGCTGTCAGAACCATAGGACAGTTTCCCTGAACATAGTACTCATGTTGTCTTTGCCTACTTAGCCATTGCTCTGCATGTGATATCATGACAGCAAAAGTGATTTGTCAATGTGGAGAATTCAGTCTCTTATTTATTCATAGACCATAAGCCATTAATCTCTGTCACTTAATGGTGGTTTCCTTAGAGCTTTCTTGTGTTCACATCACTATCTATAGGTGTAAATCCACCACTTACATTATTTCTTTTAAAGTGCTTTCTCAGGTGTTAATGTTATACAGAAAAATTCTTACCTCTTGCAGCTGTCTCTGAGCCAGCTTTGTTTGAAGTCCATACCCACCTAAATCCAAGTGTGGAGTGCTAAGCAGGATGTAATTAGCTATGTTGCACCTTGACTAGAAACCTTGTGATGGTGTGGATATGCTGAAATCACCTCAATAACATAGGCTGGTCTGAGATCTCTTGATATGTGTCGTAATTGAAAAGGTAGAAAATGCTGGTTGTTTTTTCCATGACTGGAGTACTATGTGCTATCTTTTGTACTGTTTTCAGTAATTTCTTACTCTTTTGTGTATCTTACAGCAGACCACCTTGGTTTGACCTTCCTCCACCACCTTATTGTTCTGAATCTGAATCCTCTAATCAGCCAGATCTTCCTCCTTACCGATCTCGGACGGGAAGCTTGGCAAGCACAGACATCCCCATGGCAGAAAGTCCTCTGGGCACATCTGGCAGTTGGACAAGAGCCATCCATGACAGCACAGATGGCCACAGAACTCTTCTTGAGAGGACAGTAGATCAGAGTGATTCTCTGCTCAACCACATTGCTGAAAGAGAAGTGTAACTGCTCCAGTGTTTGGGATGGGCAGGAAGGTATTTACCAGGTCCATATGGGTTAATCTGCTGTGGCTAGTAGGTTTCAGGGGAATGTGTGCCTGAACCATGACTTGATTTGAATCCACACTAAGTTAATATTTGAATTCAGCATTTTGGGCCCATCAAAGCCAGAGCTGTGAGGGCTAAACCTAGAGTCACATCAGCACTCCACAAGATTTCTGTGAGCAAGTTCTGGTTCAGAGAAGTAAGAGAAACATCAGTGCTGTGTTAAAGAACTGATGTGATGTATTTCTTGGACTGCTTACTGTACATGAATGTATATACATGCTTGTATAATATATACAGAAGTTGCACACAAGAGCTGTGCCAGAAGGACTCTTGTTTTCAGGTTGCCTCCCATCTTGTCGACGTGTCAGCTGTTTTTTCTTACTGCCTGGAGCCAACTGGTAGTCACTGAAGCACATGAGAGGCAGTTCTTCTGTTTGGAGGTCTGGTCCCCAATGCTAGCCCATTGGCAGTGCTCAACTTGCAGAAAATATCCTACTTGACCCTTTTCTTTGTGGCCTGGAACATTCTCACTGTGGAGGAATTTTAAGCTCATGAGGATGCAACAACTCTCTGAGCAAACAAGGGTTTTTTCCCAGATGCTAATATCTCAGCCAAATTTGCATGGGTTGTCTCAGCAACACCACAAAGGTTGGCTTATCTGTCAGACTTCAAGGCTGGGTACAGAGACACTGAAGCTTCTCAAAAAATTAGTGTAAGACTTCTTTTCCCATGTGGTAAAATAACATTACTCCATGTGTCCCCTCTTAAAAAAAACCCACAACTAAACAACAAAACAAACAAAAACCCAACCAAATAAAATGTCCCAGATTGTTCCAGCTAAATATTCAGCACCAAAACCCAGTCTGAGACAAGCACCCAGCACAGAAAGCTTTAGTGTCAATGACTGCTTTCTGTTTGTAAAATACTTCAAAGCAGGTTGTGTAGTGAAAGGTGTTGGGCTTGTTATCCCTGTCTACAGCATGTTATACATACATGCATGGATAGATGTGTGATACTGTGTGTTTGTATGTATGTGGAGTATCACACAGGTTTAGTTCTACTGCACCACTAGAATTCTAAACTGTCAGAGTTTCATTTTCTATAATCTTATTGGTTTTTTACAGAGTTTGCATTATTTGTGTTCATTTGGTTGAAATTCTAACTTCTCTAGAAACCCAGAATTATTTATGTCTGTTTTGTCCTAACTCTTGGAATGGTCTCCTGTGAAGTGTGCTCCAGTGCACCTTGGTGAATCACCTGTGTGAGTGCACCTCAGAGGTAAAGGTATTCAGCCTGGCAAGAGGGAGGAAGTTGTGAATTTAAATGTCACTGCAGTGCTGTGCTTGTGCTCAGGATACCAATGCAGTGTCTTCCTCTTGTCTGGGGGAAAATTGGCCTTGAAGAGTTATTTATGTTTGTCTCTCCCACCTTTCCCACTCATGCCATGTAAAACAACGATGTCATTAAACAGACTTTGCTGTTTAATGGAAATGAAGAAGGCTGACTGCCCACACCTTCTGCTTTCTTAGTCCCTGTCTTTCTAAGGTATCTTCTTTTGCCCCAAAGTTATATGCTTGGAAGAGAAGAATTTTTGAGCTTGAGTGTAGGTAGTGGAATGACTCAAGTTCAGAGTCAGTTCCCACACATACACCTCAATTTTTTGGTGGGGTTTTATTTTTCATTTCTAGTTCTGGAGTCTATTGCCATGATATGTAAGAGACAGGGGTCAGATAGATTTATAAGCACAGATCATTGCAGGACTGAGATAACATGATGGGGAGTGCTGGAGAATTCTAATGCTGGTGGGCTTGGCTGACTTTGGAAGCAGATTCATGGCAGCCTTTCATTGCAGGCTGAGCCAGCCTGTCTTGAACAGTGCTGGTGAAAATGCTTCTAGGTCCTTGTTAAATAACATAGAAGATTGGGTCAGATTACATCTTTGCTGGGAACTCAAGCAATATAATTGTGCTGTCCTTCACAAAGCAGGATTCAGCTAATTAATGATTCCATCCAACTTCATAGGCAAACTGTTGTCATTGGCAATAGACAGTTATTTATTCTACAGGTAGTTCAAATTCCAGTACATGAATGAGTTCATAGTAAAGCTAGGTGTAGAGGTGTCTCCTGTGAGCACTGGGCCCTGTATCATACAATCATAGAATCAACCGGGTGGGAAAAGACCTCCAAGATCATCGAGTCCAACCCTACCGTGGTTACTAGACCATGGCACTAAGTGCCACATCCAGTCTCATCTTCAAAACCTCCAGGGATGGTGAATCCACCACCTCCCCAGGCAATCCATTCCAATGCCTGAGCACTCTCTCCATAAAAAATCTCTTCCTAATGACCAACCTAAACCTCTGGCAGAGCTCTTGTCCTGCTGCTGGTTGCCTGGGAGAAGAGACCAAGCCCCACCTGACTCCAACCTCCTGTCAGGGAGTTGCAGAGGGTGAGAAGGTCTCCCCTGAGCCTCCTCTTCTCCAGGCTGAACACCCCCAGCTCCCTCAGCCTCTCCTCATGGCACTTGTGCTCCAGTCCCTTCACCAGCCTCGTTGCTCTTCTCTGGACCTGCTCCAGCACTTCAATATTCCTCCTGAACTGAGGGAAACTGTAGTCCCTCTTGCCTTTTGTTAACGTTCTGCTTGGCCTCTGTAAGAGTGCTGTGTTATCAGAATTAACCTTAATGGTTTTCTCTTGAAGTTTTAAAATCTTTATGTTGGACTTGAAAACATACTATTGAAGACTTTTCAGTAGTTTCACTGGAATTAACTATCTTTTTTAATTTTAAACTTGCCTAAGGCCATATTAATGAAACTAAATTGTGTTCAGTACCCTTCGAGCAAGCCTTCCACAGGGGACTGTATCTCACCATGTGTATTCTAAGCCTCCAGGTTGTGTGCAAACCAAATACCATGTGCCTATGGCATCTGAAAAACATTGCCTTGCATTGCTAAGAAGTGGGAAAAGAGTGATCACAGCCTGCTTCTTCTTCCTTCTGTGTCACTCACTGTCATATATGTACATATATATATATATATTAAAAAAAGATACTCTTTCAGGTTGTATATATTCATGTAAACTTTTGCATTAAGATAATCCATTTGGACTTTTTACAAAGAGAAAAAAGGAAAAAACATTCTAAACGGTGTGACATTTTCCCTTCCAGCTAAGGGTGTATTTATCTTTGTACAGGAATCTTCTCGTTTTTGCGAACACAAGTCGTAAAAGGAAATTGTGCCTTTCTGTTTGAATGTTGATCCAGGAGGCCTCTAACTGCATTTCTGGATGTTGTTACATATCGTTTTCTAAAGATCCAAAAAGAACAACAAGTCTTGTCTTCCTTTTTATTGTTACTCATGTGAACCACTGAACTTTGAGGAGTACAGAAGTTCAGTATCTTGTTCCAAAAAGGCATACTAAAACTTGGGCAGGGTTCATCTCACTCCACTCTTCTGGTCTGTAGAACAAGTTTGCTAACTGGTTTCTTTGGAAGTTGCTGTGGCATCACAGAGAAATTGTTTATGATGTGTCACATCTAGCAGTGTTAATACAGCGTTATATGCTGCATTATTCAGTGGAATCTTTGGGAAACGTGCTGCTGGAATTAAATATTTCATTGAAAACCCTGCAGCTTGTAAGGCTGAAGTTAAATGTTCATGCAATACCACATGGTAGGATTTTTTTGCAGTAGCAGGCAAAATTGGAATTGATCATCCTATTGTTTGCAATTGCTCTTAACCTTTTAGTTTGAGGTTAGTTGTCCAAGAGATTTTGCTTGTTACTTAATATTTAAGCAAATGGATGTTATTTTAAAGACTCATTCTTACAAAAGTACAACCAATTAAGGTTTTCTTCCAGAGCCAAATTGGGTTTCCACATCTGTCCTGGGTGGTCAGAGTATTTCTCAGTGTATTTGAACAAAACAATTTGGAGAAATGACTACTTGAAGTAAAGGAAGGAATGTGGATTAGCCTGTTGGAAATAAGGTTTGGATCAGTTAAAAATAAACAAACACATTTCAGGAGTTTGGAGTGTCTGTAACCTCTGCTGTAATCAGTGCTGTGTTTGTAAAATTAAGCCATTAGTGATTCTGCTTGATAGTAATCCAAAGCTCCTTGTAAGACAAATTACCATTTACCTCTCTGGTACTGGCAATGGAAAACTGGCAGTAATGCTTTTCAAAGAGAGCCTGTGAATCATTTTCTTGGCTCATGTCTGTGGTGACATAGACAACACGGAGTGCATTGCAATTTATAACTAACTCTGCATTCATTCATCCTCTCTTTTTAAGTCAAATCAGTTTTATTTACACCACTTCACTTTGATACAGCTGATAGGGCCCTTGTGATAGATTTTGAAGCTGGGCAGAGGGAAGAGATGATGACTCTCGTTTTAATTAATGCTGCAGCTTGTTAATCTTGTGCTCTGCACTTTTTTAGACATCTTAGAAAAGACAAATGGTTTTAGTAGATAAGAAAAACTATTAACGATGAAAAGGATGGAGGGACAGTGATGCTGATTTGGAATGAATATTTAAAGTTGTATAAATGAAGGAAAAATGGAATGCTGGATTTTTAGCCTGCTGATCAGGTGAGACAAGGACTGGTTTTAACTGTTGCTTATTGGAAGCTACTTTGCATATATTGCCTGGAACTAAAATGGTAAGACAAGTGCTTTTCTAGTCCTTACTAGATCTGAAATATTTTTTTTATTCACACAAGGTTATATTGCACCTATGGACTAAAATATGGACAGCAGAAAGAATTCCAATACTGTGCTGGATTCTAGCTGAATGTATCCCAGTACAGAACTGTGGCCTTCTTTTGTCCTTTGGTTTTGGTTCTGATTTGAGAATTTTTGTCAACTCGAAATGAAGAAGTTACAGAAATGCTTTAAGGGAGGTTGTATGTTGAAAGCCAACCTTGTCTTAAACTTTTGTAAACTGGAAATCTTACAAAA